TCAGGATAGGGATAACAATGGGGTTTGACTTAGAGGAAGTGAGAAGTGTTGGGCTATAGGGTGTCAATGCTCTTCAAGCAAAACCAATAGGAACACACCTGTAACTGAACACAGTGGGATCATTACTCATTGAAGTGAGAGAACACACACCAATGAGAACCTTAGGACCCCTCATCAAGAGATGCAGAAAGAACCTATTTCAGGATTTGGGCCTTGTTGGGTAATTTCAGGGAAGGTCTAAGGAAATGGAGATTTGGTCTAGATCTGGTATTGTCAGAAGGCAAAGCAATTCTATGATTGGGAACTTCTACACATTTTCTCTCTGGGAAGGGCAGGCACTTCAAGTGTTAAGGTATAATTGCTGAAATAGCTCATTTTGAAGTGGAATGGGGTGAAGTTTGGCAATTGTGAGATTGCATGTGTTCACCAGGAGGATAACACAGCAGAGATGGCAGCATCAGATTAGTTTGTAATAACCATGAGGTCTAGTTGTGAGCATCACATCAGGTCTGGGCATCAGGGGCTGTCTTCTATCCTTTCTCAGTCTCCCCTTTTCACCAAAGGGAATGACATCAGGCCACTGGACATTCATCCATGACATCCAAATGTTCACCATTGCCAAGATTTGTTGCTTAGGGTTAGATTTTCAACTGAATGGTAGTTTGTAGTTCAACCAGAGTCAATCATTTTTTCCCCTTCTGTCCTGAGATGAGTCCTTGGACCACTTTAAGTGACAATGACAGATGGTATATATTTCCTGCAGTAAGGAGAAAGAATTATACAACTTTTAAGTTGAGAAACATGAATCCAACAATGAATACCTTAGATTTTCCTGCTGTGTCAGATCTTAACGAGAGATGAGAGACAAGATTAAGTCATTCACCACACATTTACCCAGTGCCAACCATGTGCTGTCTTCATTTGTGATAGTCCAGTGAACAAGGCAGAAAGGCCCTGCCCTTGGGAGGATGACATTCTGGTGGATGAGACCTACATAATTAAAGAAATGGACCAGGAACCATGAAGTGCTGTGAGGAAAACACAACTACATCACTTAAGAGAGTGACTTGGGCTGCATTATACTGGGTGGTCAGGGAGGAGCCTCTGAGCAGTGACATATAGGCTGAGACCTGAGTGATGAGAAGGGCCCTAGGAGGTGAATATCTGTAACAGAGCCCTTCAGGTACCCAGGATAGAGGAGCAGCCACCCTTAATCCCTCCACATGACAAATGGGAGGTCTGTGTGGCAGAGCTTAATGAGTGTAGCAAAGAGAAGAAAGATGGAGTCACACAAGAGACACAAGTTGCTCTAACCTGGAGTTTGGATTTTGTTCTAAGTGCAATAACAAGATCTCAGAGGTTGTTACTTGGTAATACAACACCTGCTTTAGTTTCATATAGATGCCTCTGGCTGCTGGGTAAGAATAGGTGATAAGAAAACAAGAGTGGAAAAAAAAAATCATAAGACCATTGCTATGGTACTGGTAGAAGCTGCAGATGCCTGATTAAGGAAAAAGCAGCTGAGATGAAGATAAGTTGATGGATTAAAGGTATATGTTGCAAGTACAGCCAATAGAACTTGACTTATAAGAGAGAAAGCTAAAAGAAGGAGGAGGAGGAGGAAGAGAACAACAACAAAAATGAGGAGGAGGAGAGGAGGAGGAGGAGGAGGAAGAAAAAGGAGAGAAAGCTAAGAATTAAAGATGATGCCTGAATATGGAATATGGATATTCAGTGATGGTATGCCATTTGCTGCATGTGGGGAAACTGTGGAGAGGAATGTTTTCGGAAGACAGTTGGAATCAAGAGTTGCTTTGAATGTGATTTAGAAAAGGGAATAGATACAAATTTTCTGTTGATTAAAAGTGTGCCGAACTGGGAGATGGGAGTGGCCTGGAAAAGGTCAATTGAAGGGGAAAGGAGACATAATAATACTTTAAACAATAAAGAATTTAAATTTGAAAAATACATATTATCCCTAGCCAGTTTGGCTCAGTGGATAGAGCGTTGGCCTTCGGACGGAAGTGTCCCGTGTTCAATTCCGGTCAAGGGCACATGCCTTGTTTGTGGGCTTGATCCAACATGCAGGAGGCAGCCAATCAATGGTTCACTCTCATCATTGATGTTTCTATCTCTCTATTTCTCTCCCTTCAACTCTGAAATCAATAAAAAATATATATTTTTAAAAAATACATAATACTTGGTAATGATAATAAACTACTATATTACTATCTTTTTAAAAAAAAGATATGTCAAGCTTAGGATCCATTAAGAAGACAGTCTTTGGGTTGGAGAAATGAGAATTTGGGTTTAAGATGCGGGAGATGGAGGAAGAAGGATCTGGTTCAATATGAAGGGAGAAGGATCTGGTTTAGGATGTGTGAGCACTATATTATGGGTGAGTCATGACTCATCCATGGGGTACCCAGCCACATCCTCTTCCTTCTGAGTTAGGATTTTTGGAAAATGAGGAAGACTTCTGAGTCAGGATTTGTTAAAAATGAGGAAATGAGCAGTGCCTGAGGTGGCATTAATTTCAGTAGAGATCATCCAAGGGTCCCCATGGGGCTGAGCAGCACCAAGAAGGTGTCAGGTGGGGAGACACCTCACCTGCAGGATGAATTGAGGCTTCTCACATCACCACTGTTTCTACAGGAACTGGAGCTCTGCTATCGAAGCCCTGGGAAACCCCAGCTCTTCACTGAGTTCTACGTTGGTCATCTGGGGTCGGGGATCCGGCTGCAGATTAAAAGCAAAGATGATGAGACTGTGGTATGGGAGGCCTTGGTGAAATCAGGTAAAGTCAAGACAAGCCCATGAGGCTCAGTGGTGGGAAACAGAAAGTCATTCAAAGAGTCTGCCTGTGTGTGAATGAGTGTGTGTGTGTGTGTGTGTGTGTGTGTGTGTGTGATACAGTTTGTTTTGTTTTAGAAGTTTCAAGAATAAATATTACTCACTTATGCTCCTTAATTTGAAAATTATGGCACTATTTACATGTAATATAATTCATCTGTCTTAGGGGTACAGTTTGGTGAAGTTCAATAATTGTAGACAATTGCATAGCCACCTCCTCCCTATATGGTTGTATGAATCAAGCCAATTATTGCAATAGCACTTACACTAACCTGGATCATTCAGATATTTTCAAAGTAGACAAAAGGGAATCAAATAATGAACTTTCAGGAATGAAAGGAACTTTACAGTGTCTTAAACCAGCACCAACATGCCCAAGAAGCAAAATCCCTCAAAAGTCCTTCTAGGGCTGAAACCGGTTTGGCTCAGTGGATAGAGCGTCGACCTGCGGAATGAAAGGTCCCAGGTTCGATTCCGGTCAAGGGCATGTACCTTGGTTGCGAGCACATCCCCAGTAGGAGATGTGGAGGAGGCAGCTGATTGATGTTTCTCTCTCATCGATGTTTCTGGCTCTCTATCTCTCTCCCTTCCACTCTGTAAAAAATCAATAAAATATATTTTTTAAAAAAGTCCTTCTAGGGCCCTCAGCAGGTAAGGGTCGATACATGAATCAGGAGGTCATAGTTCAATTTCCAGTCAGGACACATGCCCAGGTCGTGGGCTCGATCCCCAGTAGGCAACATGCATGAGGCAGCCTATTGATGATTCTCTCTCATCAGTGATGTTTCTAACTCTCTCCCACTCTCCTTTACTCTCCCTGCAATCAATAATAAAAACGTTTTAAAAATAAAAGTCCTTCTAGGAAAAAGCAGATCATGTTCAATGTTAAAGCCTAGTGAATCTGGGCCTCGCCAGTGAAGGTCAGTAGTTAAAGTGCCAGCCAAAGAGTCGCAATTCCCTGTCAAGGGCAGATACCTGGGTTGCAGGTTTGATCTCCGGTTCCCGTCAGGGTGCATGTGGGAAGCAACCAATCAATGTATTTCTCTCACACTGATGATTCTCTCTCTCTCTTTCTTTTCTCCCTCCCTTCCACTCTCTCCGGAAATTAATAGAAAAAATAGCCTCAGGTGAGGATTAACAACAACAAAAATATATATAGTGAATCTGCCTCCTGAAGTGCCACAACAGGCTTTCCAGGGAGGAGGAAGATAATGGTCTTTACTCTTCTTGGCTTGGGCGCAATCACAGGTGTGGACTAACCAGCCCCAGCATCAGACCTCCTTTGAATCTCACTCTGGCACTTACTTGCTGGGTGATCTTGGGAAAATGACTTCACCCTTTTGAGTGTCAGATTCCTCATTTATAAAAGAGGGTCATATTGCCTAATTTGTAGTATTGTTGGAAAGATTAAATAAATTATGTACATCAAGCATGTCAAACTCAAAGGCTAATACCAGCCAAATAAACAAGGTTTATGTTTATGTGGGCTTTAATTTTCATAGAAATGTAGGTTTATTTCAATATGTAATCAGTCATTAGTGAACGTTATAGTTCGTCATTAATAATTATGTATAACAGGATATTGTAAAAATTAAGCTATGAAATTTTTATTAAAATGTTTCTTACCTACCTTATATTGACTGGGCCGCATAAATATTCATTGTGGGCTGCATGTGGCCTACAGGCCATGAGTTTGACATGCTTGATGTACATGCATATCTCATGCAGTGGTCCTTATAAATCAGGGATGAGGAACCTTTTTTCTGCAAGGGCCATTTGGATATGTATAACATCATTTGTGAGCCATAAAAAATTATCAACTTAAAAATTAGCCTACTGCCCTAGCCAGTTTCGCTCAGTGGATAGATCATCAGCCCGTGGACTGAAGGGTCCTGGACTTGATTCCAGTCAAGGACATGGACCTCTGTTGCAGGCTCTATCCCTGGACATGGTCGGCGCCCATGTTTCTCTCTGTCTCTCCCCCTCCCTTCCACTCTCTCTAAAAATCAATAGAAAAATATCCTTAGGTGAAGATTCTCTCTCTCTCTCTCTCTCTCACACACACACACACACACACGCACAGGCAAACACACACACACACAAATAGCCTGCTATGTTTGGTCAAACATTTAATTAACTCACCCCTAATGCCTTGGCAGGGCCAGACCAAATGATTTCATGGACTTATACAGCCCATGGGCTAGACGTTCCCTACCCTTGTTATACATAGTAGCAGTATTACAATTTATCCTTATGGTAAATGATCTTCTTAATTCTGCTCTTTGGAGCTGATAAAAGAATTTATCTCCACCCCCATGGGAAAGCCCTTCAGGTACCTGAAGATGGATCATAGCCTCCCCTAAGTCTCCTCCTGTGCAAGTTAAACATCTCTATGTTCTTCCATCATTCCTCTTACATTTTGGATTTTAACATCTTTTCCTCCTCAGTAGATGTGCCCATTTGAGGACGAGTCAGGATAGACTCTAAGACTGTCCAGTCGGCATGGAGGACATGGACACCCTCCTTCCTCCATCCAAGTGAACCCTCTGCTCCCAGCACCACAACCCGAGCTCCCTTGTGTTTGATTTCCCTCCCACACTGTCAGGTCACACTGAACTTGGGTCCGCTCAAAACCTCAGGCCATGTCCACAGGGGCTGCTGTGGACTCCCCCTTCCTCTCCACATGCAAGTAATTATTTAATCCCCTTTTTGTTGTTGTTTTTGTTCGTTTTTTTTTCGATCGAAATTTACCTATTACTCTGTGGTGCTAAGATTTTCTTGATGATAATTCTTGATTCTGACATCAGACTCCAGAACAAACAGTGTGAGAATCAAAGTGCAAAAAAGGTCAAGGAGGTAGATTTACATTTACGCTCAGAATAAGATCTCATCTTTGAAGATGTCTAGCAAAGGTCTCGGCTATTTCTCCACCAGAGTTCCATTCAGGCCAAGAGAGAATTAAGCCCTGTGCAAAGGGGGGTAAAGGGGAAAATTGGGCCTCAGTTTTCCAATAGGCATGAAGAAATGATTCATCAACGTTGTATGTATGGGCACTTGCAACCCTTAATCCTTATTCTGTCAGAATTAGTCTGCAGCTTGTTCTCAGAATAAATCTCAAAAGAGAAAAGTGGGTAGGAGTTTCAAGGCTTATCGTTTGTGTTAATAACTATCATTGATACTGATGCTTACTCATATCTCTTTTCCTCCAGGAGATCTCAGTTCTGCAGCTCCCCTAAGAGGTCAGTAACAGCTGTTAGAGGCCACAGGAGCCATGGCAGTTCTGGAATATCCTACTTGGTCCTGGAGGGAGGAAGGAGAGAAAGAAAGGGGACTCATTAAACCTCACAAGGGTTCAGTCCTTGGAGAGGTGTGTGCCCCAGGGCAGAGTTCTCCCACATCCCTTTTATTCCTGCCCATCATGGCTCTGGCACCTTCCACTGAACAATCTCAAATGTCTCCATCATGAACCTGACCCCCACCCTTAGCTCAGCAGAATGCTAAGCTGGAAGTTGACATGAAGGAGGGCAGAGGTACCTTTCTGGTGGTCCAGGAAACATGTGGGGATCAGGGAGGAGCCAGGGATGCAGATAAAGAGAGTGAAGAGTTAGGCTGGAGAATTAGAGGGAGAGGATGTGATGGAAACCCCTTCTTATTCATCACTGGCCTCACCTCACACCCAGATGCCCCTACTTCGCTGCACTTTGTGGACCAGCATCGGGAGGACCTGGTGGCTCGAGTGACATTGGTAGATGCAGTCCTAGACAAGCTGCATGGACAGGTGCTGAGTGAGGAACAGTATGAGAGTGTGCGGGCTGAGCCCACCAATCCGGACAAGATGAGGATGCTGTTCAGCTTCAGCAAGTCCTGGGACAGGGCCTGCAAAGAGCAAATGTACCAAGCCCTGAAGGAGACCCATCCTCACCTAATTTTTGATCTCTGGGAGAAGTGACGCAGTGGAGGAGACCAGGGGAGCTACTGACCAGCTCGGCAGCTGAAGTCTGAACACCTGCTTATGAGTCCTGGCTCTCACTGGCCAGGCTTTGGGTCTAGGTTTCTTCAAGTCTAAACACATTGCCATCCCCAGCCAGAGTGGCTCGGCTGGTTGAGTGTTGTCCTGTTCACTGAAGGGTTGCTGGTTCAATTTCTGGTCAGAGCACATACCTGGGTTGCAGGTGCAGAAAGCAACTGATTGATGTTACTTATGTTTCTCTCTCTCTCTCTCTCTCTCTCTCTTTTTCTCTCTCTCTCTCCCTCTCTCCCTTCCTCCTTCTCCCTCTCTTTGAGCATGTCCTCAGTGAGGATAAATAAATAAACAAACAAACACATTTCCATTTGAGTTACCTCTTGCCCTAAAGTTATGGAGCATTGATAATACCTTTGCTGGGCATTATGTGTCCATGCTCAGTGATGCCACACGGGCTCCCAGTCTGCCTCCCTATTATTAGGGACCAGTAGATATTTGTATACCATGACACTACATTTTTTATATCATGATATTACATTTATGTATCATGCTACTACACTACAGTAAGGCAGAATACTGGTAGACAGAGGGCCTAAGATTGAGAAATATGTGGGAGACGTTAGTTTTAGAGTGCACAGTGCATTTACTTGTGAGACAATACAGAGGGCAGCACAGGAAGCCGTAAGTTCTTGCAGCGGTTCTCAACCTGTGAGTCGTGAACCCTGAAAATACATCCTGCATAGCAGATATTTACATTACGATTCATAACAGTAGCAAAATTACAGTTATGAAGTAGCAACGAAAATAATTTTATTGTTGGGGGTCACCACAATGTGAGGAACTGTATTAAAGGGTCACGGCATTAGGAAGGTTGAGAACCACTGCAAGTAATGGGAGACAAGGGTAGACCATTGGGTAGTGCTGCTATTGCAAAAGGGAGGCAGGAGCAGGAAAGGATGAGCCCAGATAGTGATGGGTTAATAAAAGGCAGAGAAGAGCCAGGAGGAAGGACTCTAGGTCCTGCAGGGCAGCCCCTACTAACTAGAGCCAGAGTGTCAGCAGCCATCCCCTCTGCACCCCTAGAATTTCACTGTAATCTTGCTCCCATGACACCTTACCCTCTTCAGAATAGACCTTGGAAGACATGGTCTGACCCAGGCAGGGATCCCTGCCTTTGGTCAAGGGAGGAAGGTCCTGGGTCCTCCCTGACTGGGCAGCTTCAGCCCTGGGGCATGCAAAAATGAGCTCAGGGCTGGTCAGTGCCCAGAGAAAAGAGCTTTATTGGTCAGGCTCCCACAAGACAATTTCCACATCACACAATGTCATTTGGATACAAACCTGGCAACACGGACAAAACCTCTAGCCTCTAACTGGTCAGCATCGTGTGCATCCGTTAACAATTGCACCAGCACAATTAATAAAGTGACCCTTTCATATGCACTCCCTCAGTCAAAACCACTGACCACATTCCTACTACTTCCCCTGATAGCACCCTGTGTCAGTGCACCGTCAGGGCCTACTACAACAGCAGGCTCAGGGCAGACACTGAAGCAATGTTTGCTGAATAAGCAACGAATGAATTCTCAAGTGACAACACTCTTTTACAAGTTGTGTAGGTTGTCCCCCACCTCCACTGTCCGCCACCCCATCATTACACACACACACACACACACACACACACACACACACACACACACGCCAATCTTCCCTCCCTCCACAGAGTTGAGTCCTTCTCCTTCCCAGGCCTCCCCTAACAGGAACACCACCTTCCACCTGAGCTACTTTAGCTCTCGGATTTCATCACCCAGGCTCCTCCCAGCACCGGTAAAAGGTTTCCAGCCACAGTCTGGAGGGCCCCAGCCAGGACCCCCATCTGGAAGCCTGCAAGCTAAGGGCCTGCATCCCTAGAGGTCTGCAGCCTCTGGTCCCACCCTCCAGAACTCAGTGAGGAGCGTCCATTCCTGGCAGGACAGCTCCTTGGGCGATGGGCCTCTGCTCAGCTCCCAAGCGAAGGTGGTGGCTGCAGTGAAGCCTAAAGCAGGAAGAACGCACAGTCGGGGTCCGCCCGAACCCATGGGAACAGGGCGCACCACCCTGACAAAGGCCGCTCACTGTGCCCTGCACTCCCCAAAGTCCCTGAGCGCTCAGGCCCCCAGCTCCCGCGCTCAAAGACCTGTCTGCGCAGCTCCGGGCACAGCTGCCTCCTCCTGGGCAATGCCCAGCCCTGGCCAGGGCGTCCCCCTCTCCACGGGCCTCTTTGGAAGGCCGCGGGCAGTGGTAGGCTCATCCCTTACAGAACAGTTTGGAGGCTGAGCGCGCCCTAAACACAAATGACAGGTTCCCTGCGCGTGCCCCCACCTCACAAAGTGGATGGGTCCGGGGACGTTATCCTATTATAGACGGGGCCCAACTGCACCCCAAGATTCTAACTGCCCTCTTGTCTAACGTTCATCGTCTGACGTTCAGGTGCAAACATAGACCCTTATTTTATTATTGGCAGCTGCTTCGACATTCCTACTGGTGGACAAAGGTAGTGACAAGCAGAGAAGAAACGAAACATAAAAGCTAAAGCCCGGACCTCGGAGCGGGGCGCCAGGGCCGGGACGTCGGGAACACAGTGACACCGTTTGGTGTTTTTTCATGTTTCTGCGGGGCTGTTGCTTAGGTGCGCGCATATCTGGGTCCAAGGAGAAGACTGGGAGGGGGCAGCGGGGCTGAAGAACTGGGAACCGGCCGGGGTTGCAGCCCTGGGAGCTCCACTTCACAGCAGCGTCGTGGGGACCTGTAACCGGGGGTGGGGAT